GCAACATTATTTTTTTCAATAAATCTTGGATCACGAGTACTAATTCTATTAGAATGCATACTACCATCAAGTAAGTAACTATTTTCAAATAACTCAATAGTAGGTAATGTTGAAGGTAATTTCCTTCTAGAATTTCTGTTTAAATCGCTTAAAATTGTTATATCTTTTGAATCTTGAAATGGATATATTCTATTTGTTATTGTTGAATTTCCATCTGCGTTGAATACTCTCATACCAACATTAGACATTTCTAGTGGAACTGCATGTACTCCTGTACCTTTTAATTGATTTTCAACTCTTACATCAAATATCTCCCATGATATTTTTTTGTCTGCATAGGTTAACATATGTGATAAATGTTTATATTTATCTGGTCCAAGCATAATCTGATTAAATTCAATTGGTAAATAATAAATATTATCTAAAGTAGATTCAGATAAATCAATACTAGCGTAAAACGTATCGGAAACTGTATATTCTTCATAATACCTAGCATTGTGTTGAAAATTAATTCCTCCTTGAAGGTCTACAGCGGCTGGTGGTTCCACATTGGGCGGTTGTTCCGCCATATATTAAATGATTACCACGATTGCCCCAACCGTTTCTTCCTTTTGGATGTCTGAACTTTCTCCGAGAGTACTTCTGCGATAGAGGCATAAGCGTCGAATGTGTTATTATCAATTATTATCAATAATGTTTTCTTTTATATCTTCTTCAGGGAGGTCTAGTAAAGGAATTTCATTGGCTAAATTTTCATAATAAGATTCTCTTACGTTTTGATATTGTATTTCAGTAAATGGTCTTTTTGGATTATGAACTTTATTTACGAACTTTATTTATTACTTTTTTAAATACTTTATCGATTCTTCGATTTAAATCTATTGGAAATCCTAAAGGGTTACTTTCTTTATATATTCGAGGTTCTATATATTTAGTTCTAGGTGGTGCTGTTTTATCTACTTTTTCTTTCCAATCTGCAAGCAATTCTTCATTACTAAAATCTGAATCGTATAGTTCTTGATATTCTGATCTTGAAAGAGAAAATCACAAACTACTTAAACTATCAGAAGATCCGTCATAACCAAATTCACTTGCACCATCAGGGAATATATCTTCTAATACATTTGTTGGAAAACCTCTACCATTATATCCATACTTATATTTTCTCAACTTTTTGATGTATCAGCTAATTTACGCTTAGGTCCTAATGTTTGATATTTAACATTTTTACCAATATTAACCATACTTTTATTAATTGCATCTTTGACTCCGTTTGCTGCTTTAACTAAATTAGGCGGTATTGATTTTATTGTCTGTAGTAATTTTTTTAACGCATTTAATATAGCTTTACTAGTAATCATTACAATTGGAGCCAATGGACCAGCAGCCATAAAACCTCCTACAAACTGTTCTACCATTCTAAATGTGTCAGCATCCTTTCCACACATTTTTGCATTAAAATTCAAGATTCTATCTTGATCTTGTTGATAATCTAATGCTACTTTTCGGTGCATTTCTGGGGGGTCACGGGGATTTTTTTTTAAAGTCCATACCGGAGTAGGACCACTCATTTTAATATACCAATCTTTTGTTTCGCATCTTCCTTGAAATCTATCTTTAATTTCTGGAGGGCAAGGGTATTCTTTTACTGTTTGATCAAAAGGTGTAGGTTCAGAAAATTGTTTTATTTTGGTTTTTCCAGCAGAACTTGGACTAAAACTTGGGACATTTCCCGAGAGTATTGTTCTGTCGAATCCAAGAGGAACTGGTATTAAAAATCCATCGTCCTCCATTGCACCCACAAAGTTGATAATTGACACAAGAAAATATATTATGAGATTGTAAACACTCCTCTTGAAGTAATTTACAGGTGGACTGACTGCAAGTGCAGTTTGCATAAATGATCAGAGATGTTAACAGGACGAAGGTGATCATTGTTATGAGCGCATTTAAATAATACGAAACATTTATAAACTCATGAGCAGTCCACCCAAGCAGCAAGTGCTCATATTGAGCATGACACTACTATGAGATCCCATAGTAGTGTCATGCTTAATATGAGCACTCTTATTAGTATTGCTCTTTTTGCAATTATTGCAATAATCTTAGTATTGCTCAGTATAAATTAGTATTGTATAAATTAGTATAAATTATAGTATAAATTAGTATTGCTTAGTATAAATTTGCAATAATCTTAGTATTGCTCAGTATAAATTAGTATTGTATAAATTAGTATAAATTATAGTATAAATTAGTATTGCTTAGTATAAATTTGCAATAATCTTAGTATTGCTCAGTATAAATTAGTATTGTATAAATTAGTATAAATTATAGTGTAAATTAGTATTGCTTAGTATAAATTTGCAATAATCTTAGTATTGCTCAGTATAAATTAGTATTGTATAAATTAGTATAAATTATAGTATAAATTAGTATTGCTTAGTATAAATTTGCAATAATCTTAGTATTGCTCTCTTTGCAATAATTACATATTATTCTTTTTGGTTGATAACTTAATATGATCACTTTATTCCACTCACTAGCCTTATTTCTTCTCCCTAAATGAAACTTTGGCATGTTGAAAATATAACTAAAATTTTAAAATTTATTATTCTATTTTTAAATAGCTGTATATTAGAATAAAAATCAATCTGATTATTAGGCTATTTTATAAGATAATATATCTGTAAAAAATGAAAAAACTTTTAAATAACTATAATTTAATCAAATGTCACTAATTATTTGTACCAAACTTTAGCAAAAACCCAGTAGGGTTGAGTTTTTGTTAAAACTGTTGATTGATTGACTCCCAATGTTTCCGCAAGCTCTTCCTGTGTCTGGCATGGATCTTCATCAAGTAATGCCTCCAATTTAGTATCTTCAAATTTTTTCTCAGCAAAAGATCATTGTTGCTATATGTTATATGCACCTTTATGTTATATAAATATATGCATTTCAGCTACTATTGTTTTTCGGTGAAAGTAACAAAAAAAAATTACTCGTAAAAACAGTTTTATAGGCACGAACTCAGCCATGTTCAAAATTTTGGATAAAAATGTTTTTACACTCTAGCAGTTGAAATTGTTTGCAGTGTAGGGTTTTAGCTTTCAGTTAAAATGTATTTCAACTCAATCAGATATATACTTGCTGAATTATGAATCTCAATACAGAATGCTCATTTTAAATGCATACTCCCAATATCAGGGTGTTAATCAATATGATGGCCCGCGTATACTTAGGTGTTCTCAAAATTCAATGAACTTTTTTTTTTTTGTAGTGGTTCCAAATATTCCAAATATTATGCAATGCTGTATAAAATTTATTCCTTGAATAACACCATACCACCCTATATGATGTATATATATTTATATATATATTTATATATATATATATATATATATATATATATATATATATATATATATATATATATATATATACATACTTATATATATATATATATATATATATATATATATATATATATATATATATATATATATTTTGTTTGGAATTCTTCTCCAAATGGTATCTAATTTTTGCTTTAGGCTATTTATGGATCGTATTTGCAACTTGACTTATTCTTTGTCCATCCAAGCCCAAATAGATTTGATTGGATTCAAATCTGACGATCAAGCTGGCCAGAGCAATACTTTATTTTCTTTCATATATCCTTTTACTGTGTAAGCTGTGTGGGCAGGCACCAAATCTTGTTGGAGTTGCCAACATTCGTTTCAATCAATCAGCATGTCCACTGATGGAACTATACAGTTCTCTAGCGTTTCTATATATGTATGTTGGTTGATTCAACCAGTATTAATGTTACACACTCCTACTCCGTTAAAATTAATGCAGCCCCAAATACCAACACTGTCGCTGCAACTTTGCAACCTCGGTATAACAAAGCAATTACTATAGTTTTCCAATTTTTTTTTAAACCTTTTAACAAGAACATTTTTTTTTTTTTTATTACATCAAAGTTACTTTCATCACTAAAAATTACTTGCTTCCACTTCTCCAAAGACCATCCAATTCTCTCCTCACACCACCTAGATCTCTGACTGTTAACATTTTCTAACAGCTGTATAGATACCAATTTTTTTCCTTTGTAAAATGTTTTCAACTGTATTTGACAAAATAAATTTTCATGGTTTTTGCTAAATGCATTGGTGAGTTGATAATAACTTAACATCAGATTTGCTCTTACTTGACAAAATATAAGACTACTTTTGTGTTCAGTAGTTTTTTTAACCTTCCTGATCCTGCATGGCATTGGATGCCACCTGTTGTTTTAAATGTCTTTAGAGTATATCTCACACAATTCTCTAAATTTTTTAATTTTTTTGCTATTTCTCCTTAACTGATCATTGAGCCATCCTTCATACTTATTATTTGCCACTTTGTTGCTTCGCTTACTGCTTTTCAACACATTTCTAAACTAATCATCATAAGTAAACTAAACTGATCATCATAAGTAATTTTATCCAACATTTTATTGGAAATTGTCTAACTAACATTTAAATTAATAAAATAATAATGAATGGGTTGACAAGACAATAAAATGGAAGTCAATTAAAAAGTTTATGCTCCTATTTTTTTTTTTTACAATCTTTTGCGGTATGTTTTTTGTGTTCCTTTGAAAAAAGTAAATTATTAAAAAAAGTTACTATATATGAACTTGTTATTGACATGTTAGTTGTAGAGAAATAATTTTCCTGCCGTCCATATATATATATATATATATATATATATATATATATATATATATATATATATATATATATATATATATATATATATATATATATATATATATATATATATATATAAACACACACACCCACACGCAAAACTAAGACAAAGCCATGAAAACCATAATAACACTTAACCATAATAAGTATATCTACAGACAAATATAGTTAGTCTATTAAAAAAAATATTGATAGAGTACCTATAAATGCTATTATAAATTTCATTTTTTTTTTAAATTATACTTTTAG